TGTTCCATCTGGTGCCATGTCCTTATCCCCAGCCCCTCCATCCCTGCCATTGTCCTTGTCCCCAAGGGTTCCATCCAGTGCCATGTGTCCCTGTCCCAGCTCCTCCATCCCTGCCACTGTCCCTGTCCCCAACAGTTCCATCCAGTGCCATGTGTCACTGTCCCAGCTCCTCCATCCACTGCCATGTCCCCGTCCCCAACACTGCCATCCAGTGACATTGTCCCTGTCCCCAACTCTTCCATCCCTGCCATGTGTCCCTGTCCCAGCTCCTCCATCCATCCTGTCCCAGCTGCTCATCCCTGCCACATCCCTGTCCCTGTCCCTGCCATGTCCCTGTCCCTGTCCTGCCCATGTCCTTGTCCCTGTCCCTGCCATGTCCCTGTCCTGACCATGTCCCTGTCCCTGTCCCTGCCATGTCCCTGTCCCTGACATGTCCCTGTCCCTGTCCCTGCCATGTCCCTGTCCCTGCCATGTCCCTGTCCCTGTCCCTGCCATGTCCCTGTCCTGACCATGTCCCTGTCCTTGTCCCTGTCCCTGTCCCTGCCATGTCCCTGTCCCTGTCCCTGTCCCTGCCCATGTCCCTGTCCCTGTCCCTGTCCCTGTCCCTGTCCCTGTCCCTGCCATGTCCCTGTCCCTGCCATGTCCCTGTCCCTGCCACCCCACCAGGTCCCGCCACACCTTTAACCCTTCCAGTCCCTCTCCCAGCCCCGAACCCCTGCGGGACCCTCGGGGCCACCTCCAGCCCCTTTATCCCTCTGTCCCCACCGCGTGCGGGATGTCCCCGCGGTGTCCCCGCGGTGTCCCCGCGGTGTCCAGCGGGGGTCCGGCGGGTCGGGCGCTGCTTAATTAATTAGTGGGTAGGAGCGGAGCAGGGCGGCAGCCACGCACAGCTCGGAGCCACTCACTCATCCCGCAGGAATCCTCCCCACGGGGAGGAGCGGCCGCGGTCCGGCGCCTCAAAAAGGCCCCGCACGGGCCGGCTGCCCTCGGAGCCTTCCTCCGTCCTCCTCTTCCTCCTCCTCCTCCTCCTCCTCGTCCTCGCAGCGCCATGGCAGGGCACGGTGCCAGCCTGCTCCTGCTGCTCGCGGTTCTGCCAGGTACGGCCGCGGCTCCCGGGGATGCTCCGAGCACCGGGGCGGAGCGCGGGACGCGCCCCCGGGCACGCCCGCGGCTCCCGTGGGTACGGAGGGTGGCACCGAGCCCCGAGGGTGGCACCGAGCCCCGAGGGTGGCACCGAGCCCCGAGGGTGGCACCGGGGATGCCAGGGGGGGGACAGAGCCCAGGGGGTGACAGAGCCCAGGGGGTGACAGCGCCGAGGGCACCCAGACCCACCCGGGACCCACCCGGGACATCCCCGCGGGTGCGCGGGGCGGGAGATGCGACCGAGGGGAAGGATGTGTGGGGTTTTTGGGGTGCCAGGTGTGGGGTTTTGGGGCTGCCAGGTTTGGGGTTTTGGAGCTGCCAAGTATGGGGTCAGGAGCTGCAGGTGTGGGGTTTTTGGGGATCCAAGTGGGGGGTTTGGGGCTGCCAGGTTTGGGGTTTTGAGGATGCCAGGTTTGGGTTTTGGGGGATGCCAGGTTTGGGGTTTTTGGGGATGCCAGTTGTGGTGTTTTGGGGCTGCCAGGTGTGGGGTTTTGGGGGATGCCAGGTTTGGGGTTTGGGGCTGCCAAGTGTGGGGTTTTGGGGGATGCAGGTATGGGGGTTTTGGGGCTGCCAGGTTTGGGGTTTGGGGCTGCCAGGTTTGGGGTTTGGGGCTGCCAAGTGTGGGGTTTTTGGGGATCCAAGTGTGGGGTTTTTGGGGATCCAAGTGTGGGGTTTTGGGGCTGCCAAGTGTGGGGTCAGGAGCTGCAGGTGTGGGGTTTTGGGGCTGCCAGTTGTGGGGTTTTGGGCTGCCAGGTGTGGGGTTTTGGGGTCTGCCAGGTTTGGGGTTTTGGTGCTGCCAAGTGTGGGGTTTTGGGGGATGCAGGTGTGGGGTTTTGGGGGATGCAGGTATGGGGTTTTTGGGGATGCAGGTGTGGGGTTTTGGGGGATGCCAGGTTTGGGGTTTGGGGCTGTCAAGTGTGGGGTCAGGAGCTGCAGGTTTGGGGTTTTTGGGGATCCAAGTGGGGGGTTTTGGGGCTGCAGGTTTGGGGTTTTTGGGGCTGCAGGTTTGGGGTTTTGGGGGATGCCAGGTTTGGGGTTTTGGGGAATGCCAGGTTTGGGGTTTGGGGCTGTCAAGTGTGGGGTCAGGAGCTGCAGGTGTGGGGTTTTTGGGGATCCAAGTGGGGGTTTTGGGGCTGCCAAGTGTGGGGTTTTTGGGGATACAAGTGTGGGGTTTTTGGGGCTGCAGGTTTGGGGTTTTGGGGCTCCAAGTGGGGGGTTTTGCGGCTGCCAGGTTTGGGGTTTTTGGGGCTGCCAGGTTTGGGGTTTTGGGGCTGCCAGGTGTGGGGTTTTGGGGGATGCAGGTATGGGGTTTTTGGGGATCCAAGTGTGGGGTTTTTGTGGCTGCCAGGTTTGGGGTTTTGGGGCTGCCAGGTTTGGGGTTTGGGGTTGCCAAGTGTGGGGTCAGGAGCTGCAGGTGTGGGGTTTTGGGGCTGCCAGGTTTGGGGTTTGGGGCAGCCAGGTGTGGGGTTTTTGGGGATCCAAGTGTGGGGTTTTGGGGCTGCAGGTTTGGGGTTTTGGGGCTGCAGGTTTCGGGGTTTGGGGCTGCAGGTATGGGGTTTTTGGGGATCCAGTTGTGGGGTTTTGGGGGCTGCCAGTTGTGGGGTTTTGGGGGATGCCAGGTTTGGGGTTTTGGGGCTGCCAGGTTTGGGGTTTTGGGGCTGCAGGTTTGGGGTTTTGGGGCTGCCAGGTTTGGGGTTTTGGGGGATGCAGGTTTGGGGTTTTTGGGGATCCAAGTGTGGGGTTTTTGGGCTGCCAGGTTTGGGGTTTTTGGAGCTGCAGGTTTTGGGTTTTTGGGGCTGCCAGATTTGGGGTTTTGAGGCTGCTAGGTTTGGGGTTTTGGGGCTGCCAAGTATGGGGTCAGGAGCTGCAGGTGTGGGTTTTGGGGGGATGAAGGTGTGGGGTTTTGGGGTTGCCAGGTTTGGGGTTTGGGGCTGCCAAGTTTGGGGTTTGGGGGATGCAGGTTTGGGGTTTTGGGGCTGCCAGTTGTGGGGTTAGGAGCTGCCAGGTTTGGGGTTTTTGGGGATGTCAGGTTTGGGGTTTTGGGGCTGCCAGGTTTGGGGCTTTGGGGCTGCAGGTATGGGGTTTTTGGGGATGCCAGGTTTGGGGTTTGCGGCTGCCAGGTTTGGGGTTTTTGGGGATCCAAGTGTGGGGTTTTTGGGGCTGCAGGTGTGGGGTTTTGGGGCTGCCAGGTTTGGGGTTTTGGGGGATGCCAAGTTTGGGATTTGGGGCTGCCAAGTGTGGGGTTTATGGGGATGCCAGGTTTGGGGTTTGGGGCTGCCAAGTTTGGGGTTTTGGGGCTGCAGGTTTGGGGGTTTTGGGGATCCAAGTGTGGGGTTTTTGGGGCTGCAGGTTTGGGGTTTTGGGGGCTGCCAGGTGTGGGATTTTGGGGATCCAAGTGTGGGGTTTTGGGGGCTGCCAGGTTTGGGGTTTTGGGGCTGCCAAGTGTGGGGTCAGGAGCTGCAGGTGTGGGGTTTTTGGGGATCCAAGTGCGGGGTTTTGGGGGATGCAGGTGTGGGGTTTTGGGGTTGCCAAGTTTGGGGTTTTTGGGGATCCAAGTGTGAGGTTTTGGGGCTGCCAGGTTTGGGGTTTGGGGCTGCCAAGTGTGGGGTCAGGAGCTGCAGGTGTGGGGTTTTTGGGGATCCAAGTGCGGGGTTTTGGGGCTGCAGGTTTGGGGTTTTGGGGGATGCAAGTGTGGGGGTTTGGGGGATGCAGGTTTGGGGTTTTGGGGCTGCCAGGTTTGGGGTTTTGGGGCTGCCAGGTTTGGGGTTTTGGGGGATGACAGGTATGGGGTTTTTGGGGATCCAAGTGTGGGGTTTTGGGGCTGCCAAGTGTGGGGTTTTTGGGTATCCAAGTGTGGGGTCAGGAGCTGCAGGTGTGGGGTTTTTGGGGCTGCAGGTTTGGGGTTTTGGGGATCCAAGTGTGGGGGTTTGGGGGATGCAGGTTTGGGGTTTTGCGGCTGCCAGGTTTGGGGTTTTTGGGGATCCAAGTGTGGGGTCAGGAGCTGCAGGTGTGGGGTTTTTGGGGCTGCAGGTTTGGGGTTTTGGGGATCCAAGTGTGGGGTTTTGGAGCTTCCAGGTTTGGGGTTTTGTGGATCCAAGTGTGGGGTTTTGGGGCTGCAGGTGTGGGGTTTTGGGTCTGCCAGGTTTGGGGTTTTTGGGGCTGCCAGGTTTGGGGTTTGGGGCTGCCAGGTTTGGGGTTTTGGGGATGACAGGTATGGGGTTTTGGGGCTGCCAAGTGTAGGGTCAGGAGCTGCAGGTGTGGGATTTTGGGGGATCCAGGTGTGGGGTTTTTGGGGATCCAAGTGTGGAGTTTTGGGGGATCCAAGTGTGGGGTTTGGGGGGATCCAAGTGTGGGGTTTTTGGGGCTGCAGGTGTGGAGTTTTTGGGGCTGCAGGTGTGGGGTCAGGCGGTGCCAGCAGGTGGGTGGGGACATGAATTTGGGGACCCTACACCCCCCAGGTGGGAAACTGCAGGTGTGGGGTCAGGGGTGTCGGGGCACAGATTTGGGGTCCCTGTGCCGCAGGTGTGGGGCTGTGAGGTGCCCCTGGGTGCCATTTCGGGGGTGACAGTGCCGTTTCGGGGGGTGACAGTGCCATTTTTGGAGGTGACAGTGCCATTTTGGGGTGTGTTGATGTCATTTGGGGGGTGACAGTGCCATTTTGGGGCGTGACAGTGCCATTTTGAGGTGACCGTGCCATTTCAATGTGTGATAATGTCGTTTTGGGGGGTGATAGTGCCATTCTGGAAGGTGACAGTGCCATTTCAGAGTGTGACAGTATAATTTGAAGGGGTGACAGTGCCGTTCTGTGGGTGACAGTGCCATTTGAAGGGTGTGACAGTGCCGTTCTGTGGGTGACAATGCCATTTGAAGGGGTGACAGTGCCATTTGAAGAGGTGACAGTGCCATTTGAAGGGGTGACAGTGCAATTCTGGGGGGTGACAGTGCCATTTGAAGCGGTGCCAGTGCCATTCTGTGGGTGACAGTGCCATTTCGGTGGGTGCCAGTGCCATTTTGGTGGGTGACAGTGTCATTTTGGTGGGTGCCAGTGACATTTTGGTGGGTGACAATGCCATTCTGGTGGGTGACAGTGCCATTTGAAGGGGTGCCAGTGCCATTTTGGTGGGTGCCAGTGCTATTTCGGGGGTGCCAGCGCCGTTTGAAGCGGTGCCAGTGCCGTTTTGGGGGTGCTAGTGCCATTTCGGGGGTGCCAGTGCCGTTCTGTGGGTGACAGTGCCATTTGAAGCAGTGCCAGTGCCATTTCGGTGGTGCCAGTGCCATTTCGGGGGTGCCAGTGCCATTTCGGTGGGTGCCAGTGCCATTCTGGGGGGTGACAGTGCCGTTCTGTGGGTGACAGTGCCATTTGAAGCGGTGCCAGTGCCATTTTGGTGGGTCACAGTGCCATTTGGGGGTGCCAGTGCCATTTGGGGGTGCCAGTGCCATTTGGGGTGACCGTGCCCTTGTCCCCAGCTCTCCTGGTGGCCGTCCGGATCAATGGCCAGGGCCGCGAGGTTCTGTACCTGGCCAAGGGCGACTCGGTCAAGCTGGGCTGTCCCTACGTGCTGGAGCCCGAGGACGCGGGGCCCCAGGGCGTGGGCATCGAGTGGATCCAGATCACGCCCGAGAGACCCGGCCCCGAGAACGTGGTGAGGGCGCGGGGGGAGCCGGCAGAGCGCTGGGGACAGGCGGGGACAGAGGGGGACACAGAGGGACAGGCGGGACAGGGAGGGACACGCAGGACAGGGAGGGACAGGGAGGGACAGGCGGGGACAGAGGGACACGCAGGACAGGGAGGGACAGGCGGGGACAGAGGGGGACAGAGGGGGACACAGAGGGACACAGAGGGACACGCAGGACAGGGAGGGACAGGTGGGGACAGGGAGGGACAGGCGGGGACAGAGTGGGACACAGAGGGACAGGCGGGACAGAGGGGGACACAGAGGGACAGGCGGGACAGGGAGGGACACGCAGGACAGAGAGGGACAGGCGGGGACAGAGGGGGACACAGAGGGACACGCAGGACAGGGAGGGACACGCAGGACAGGGAGGGACACGCAGGACGAGGAGGGACAGAGAGGGACAGGTGGGGACAGAGGGACTGGGAAAGACAGAGGGGGACACGCAGGACAGGGAGGGACAGAGAGGGACACAGAGGGACATGCAGGACAGGGAGGGACACAGAGGGACAGGGAGAGACAGAGAGGGACAACAGGGAGTGAGAGGGACACGCGGGACAGAGAAGGACAGAGAGGGACACGCAGGACAGAGAGGGACAGGCGGGGACAGAGGGGGACAGAGAGGGACAGAGAGGAGACAGAGAGGGACAACAGGGAGAGAGAGGGACACGCGAGACAGGTGGGGACAGGGAGGGACAGGGAAGGTTGGGAAGGGCAGGGAAGGACCAGACAGGGTCTGGAAGTGCTGGGATGGGCAGGATAAAGTGGGACAGGCAGGGACAAAAAGGGACAGGCAGGGACAAAAAGGGACAGACAGGACAGGCAGGGACAGGCAGGGAAGGACCAGACAGGTCTGGAAGTGCTGGGCAGGACAGGGAGGGACAGGCAGAACAGGCAGGACAAGGTGGGATGGGATGGATGGGATGGAGCCCAGAACAGGCTGGACAGGCAGGACAGGGAAGGTCTGGAAGGGCAGGGAAGGACCAGAAAGGGTCTGGAAATGCCGGGATGGACAGAGTGAAGTGGGACAGGCAGGGACAAACAGGGACAGGCAGGACAGGGAAGGGCAGGAAAGGATCAGACAGGGTCTGGAAATGCTGGGATGGGCAGGATAAAGTGGGACAGGCAGGGACAAACAGGGACAGGCAGGACAGGGAAGGGCAGGGAAGGACCAGACAGGGTCAGGAAACCCTGGGATGGGCAGGATGAAGTGGGACAGGCAGGGACAGACAGGACAGGGAAGGCAGGGAATGTTGGGAATGTTGGGAAGGACCAGACAGGGTCAGGAAATGCTGGGATGGGCAGGATAAAGTGGGACAGGCAGGGACAGGGAAGGTCAGGACGGGCAGGAAGGAGCAGGCAGGGACAGGCAGGGACAAGTCAGAGGCACAGGCAGGGCCAGACAAGGTCTGGCAGCGTCGGGGAGTGCCAGACTGGGCTGGGCTGGGCTGGGCTGGGCTGGGCTGGAGCACGGCCAGGGACGCAGGGACAGGCAGGGACAGGCAGGGACAGGCAGGGACAGACAGGGAAAAACAGGACAGGCAGGGACGGGCAGGGAAAAGGACAATCAGGGACAGGCAGGGACAATCAGGGACAATCAGGGACAGGAAGGGACACAGGGGTCCAAGGGGAGCAGGGAAAGCCCAGGACAGGGAAGGGTGAGCAGGGAGGGGCAGGAAAGGAGCAGGA